ATTTGATTGAAAAGAACAAATTTAGTAATGTAAAGTGCTTATTAATTCTCCCTTTGACTATTATTTACCGTATTTCAATTAGATTTACTATTTTTTTAAACTAGGCTTAATCTAAACATGTATCTGGCAATCATTTCCTTCTGTGATAGAAACTGTTGTCTGAAAGGTAAAATGTGCAAGTCCCCATTCTTAATATTCATATATTATATACACAATATGTATACACTTAAAATATAAGAGTTACATATCCTGGTCTCTTACATGCAAACAGTAGGTCACAAATAGTTTTGAGCTACACATATATCTTGCACAGGTATTGGAAAAAAATCTGTGAAATTTTTTTTTACAGTTTTAACAAATATACATAAATATAAGAACATAAATTACAGTAAAATATTGACAGCATTTGAGAAAATGTTGATAACCCAGATGCACTGATGCCTAAAGGCCTTATAATAATAGAAAAGTACGGTTCAGGGACATCTCATTCCTATTCTCTTTTAAAATAAGTAAATACATCATATGATATTAGTTATTTCTCTAAACAACTCAATTAGAGAAATGTATATATTTTAGTCTCTACTTCCCACGAAAGAAAACCAACCCTCTATCTCATTTATGATACAATACTGTCTCTCCCCTCTACGTGTACACAGTTGTCACAACACTGAAACATAACAGGGTCACATAATCATTCAAGTCTTTTCCTGAGAATGAAGTTTTTCCCCAACTAACCCTCTGATACATTGTTAAAGGAACAAAGATCATGTAGAGAAGATTTCAAGTGTGTACTTTAAGCTGTTCCACTTGAAAAGGATAAAAAAAGAAAAACTCAATATAAGTAAAATAATGTGAAGCTATTTTAAAATTAAAATGTAGCCCTTTGTACATGTTTAAAAATTCTAAATATAATTTTTGTATCAGTTATAAATATAATGTAAGGACCTCTTGAGAACTTGTGGCAGGAAGTCTTACATCTTCAGATTGAAAGACTACTCTCAAAGTGTCCTTCACTTCTGCCAGCTTATAAAGTGACTTACTTTAAAAGAGATAGAAATCCTTTTTTGTTAAAAGAACAATCTAAATTATTCTGAGTTGGCCAGAAGTGGTGTAAAAACAGCACTGATTTAATCAGCAACTTCTTAGAACATATTCTTGGTTAAGCTCATGTGGTTTAAAGCGAACCTACTAGCAGCTCTTTACAATACCTCCTCTTATTTAATAGAGAAATGTTAATACTTGAGTGAATAATAAATACAGAATTGTAAATACTTAGAATAATTCTTGCAAATGCTCTAACACCATTAAAACATGAGGGTTATTGTAAAACTAAACACTAGTGTTTGTCTTAGCATCATAAGAAAGGTGCGAGTTACCTCTGAAGGCGCATTTCCTACGCTCGTGATCTCCACATGAAACAAAATACAAAAGGTATCTTAGATTAAACCCCCAGGAGAGAAAAACAGAAAAATAAACCATCTGAAGACAAGAACGTACATTAAAAAGTTAAAAAAAAAAAAAAACAACAACAAATAAAACACATAATTTGTAATCTTAGCCATATTTCAACCATAAGTCCAACTAGTGTCCATGAGAATTCAGTGCTTCAGTGTGTCTACTATCAAGCAGGTGAACCCGATGACACAAATCTCCATTTGTGAATCAGAACATTTCCTTCATCACTTGGACTTACCACCTATGTGAGAATCTTCTGCACTCCAAAATACTGTGGCTTACATTCCAGTTGTTCATGACAACAGAGCTTAATGTTCAGTTTCAATTAATAAAAGTTTTGTTGGCAATCAGAAAGATTTTCTATAGGCAGGAAAGATGAAGTGCAAATTTACCACGAATGTTCTGAAGCAAGTATTTCCCAACTCCTATGCTTTAGTGGGTAGAAGTTTTTTGGGTGTTACTGGTCTCTTGGTCTGCCATAAATGACTATGAATGGTAATCGCATCAACACTGGCAGATAAAGTTTTAGCAGGTATGTGGCTAAACTGTTTCCTGTCAGAATTATATTTGTACAGTCCCTCAATCATTTTTTTACTGATAGATTTAGGGCCTATCCCAGTCAGTTTATTAATTTCTTCAGTTTCTGGGCAGTAAGTATACAAAGACCTGAATTGGCAGCCTGAATCCCGGAACAAGATTAAGAAGTTGTTGGCATCTGACTTCTCCATTTCCTTCAGAATAAAACAGAAAACAAAAAACAAAAAAAAACAATAAAAACTCTTAAACATTTCACTGTATAAAATTTATATAATTGTTTTACCCCTATCTTGGTCAAATATTATGACATGATTTAAAATATAAATTCTGAAGAACTAAAAATGTATATTATAAAAGCAAAATACACTATAATTAACAATGTATGTGAACACTTCACTTCTGAGGTTCTGTTGGCTCTGTGTGGATATTATTATCGTTCAGGAAGATATGAAATATCTGCTAAATCTTGATCTTAGTCAAACAACACTAACAAACCAGGCACTGATTATCAACTTTGCAATACAGCCTCCTTTTAAAAAAGGAAAATTACGTTACTTACATTTACGAAACATGAACAAGTAGCTCTGGGCAAGAAAAGAACTTATAATTTTATATTATTATCTAAGTCTATCCTAGTCTTAATTAAGTCAGTCCTCTAAAACCCCATTTGAAAGTGAACTAACTCAATCTAAAGTTAAAACATAGCTACAGATCTTTTATATACTGTTGAAATCCTAGGAGGAGATGAAGGGTATTTTCTCTTGAATTGGTAGCAGAGAAGACTCCCACAATTTTAGAATACTGCCAAATTTAATTTTCATGCAAACATACTTACCTCCAGTATTTTTTTCTTCTGACCTTCATTTACTTTTCCAGCCAAACAGCAATGAGCTAAAGCATTTTGTATTATGTGCTTATTGGATTTTGCACTGGGTTCTTTGTAGAGCTTTGGTCCTGTGGTAACAATTTAGCAGCAAAATAAAAATACCATTCCTAAGTCAGAAATACTACTGTTTAAATGATGTAATTGTTCCTATATTGAGGAAACACTAACAAAAAATCAAAATCTGTGCCTAAAGGCATCTGAGTGGCTGTACTCCAATTGGAACATTGTTTTATCCACACAGGGAGACATCTTAAGGACCTTGCCAAGGCTGCTCTGAGACAGTAGCGCTAGAAATCAGACAGGTCGTAATTGCCACACTGCTTCACCTTCTTTCTCAAGTCTGCTACGGTTACTGGTGAATTTAAAGCAGAATGGGCCCATGAGTAATTATAGATTTAAAAAGACAAGAAAAAGCTTCATCTTCTTCTTCATCCACATACCTGAGTTTTTTAAGCATTTGTTTTCTTTTTTTTTTAATAAAGATTTTATTTATTTATTTGACAGACAGCACAAGCAGGGGGAGCGGCAGGCAGAGGCAGAGGGAGAAGCAGGCTCCCC